TGAACCTGAAAGACTTGAGCAGTTCATGAAGGTATAACGACACGTGACTATCACTGTAGTGTGCTGTGCCATGCTGTAGTAGTTCTGAGAAGGATTTGATTTGCTGTAGGTATTACGACTTAGGCAGGCCAAGGCAGCTTTTCACCCAGCGCAGACCAGTGTGTTGGCTATACCAGTTTGCACTTAATGAGAATCTGGCATGTTGATTTTTAAGTAACCTTACCAATCAGCTTTTCTCTTAACATAGTTACTTCAAAATGGTTCCTGTTCTGTATTATTCTGAAAATAATTTGAATATTGTTCGGTGGTGGGGATCTGTTTTAACTGGTAGGCTATCACTACAAGCAAAACTTCCTTTGTACCAGAGCAAGCTGATTTTTTGTTTTCTTTTAAATTCCCTTGGCTGCATACTGGGGGTTTCAAACAGTAGGTGATGTTGCATGAGGCATTTTAGTTTTTTTTCACAGTGCCCTGGTATATATACCTAAGGTGAGGTGACAACCTTGAACATTAAATTTCCCTTTCTCTTGAGGGCTGGCCAGAATGAGGACTGGGCAAATAGTTTTGTACCAATAGTGTTGGTGCTTATTCCTTGGTATTCTGTGCTGTATTTCTTCATAGAAATTGTTGGTCTTCTATTTAGGAGTATCTTGACAATTGAGCTTTTGGCTTTAGATACATACCTCATATAGTTAATTTTGTACTTCAGTTTTGGGGACTATGACTTGTATTATACATGCTAAATCCTCCGGTATTTCAAAATGTTTTTCATTAAACACTTCTGCTAATGAAAACTGTCCATTGGAATAACTGAAAAGTGAGCAGAACTAGCATGCAAAAGGAAGAAGAGCAAATGGATATTAAAAAATAAAAAGTTGTAGAAATACACTTTTCCAGTATTCTTACAATTCTTTATCTTAATTCAGTTTTTGCTACGTCAGGGATCATAGTCAGTCTTTCCTGCTTTTGCTGGAAGACCTTAACTTACAGATGTTTTGTGTTGTTGCTGTTTTATGTTTATACCAGTAGGATTGCTTTTGTATTATTTTTTGCAGGTGGGTCAAAGACGTACACATTTAAAGCCCCCCAAACTCTGGTTACAAAAAACAAAAACTTGCTGTGTTCTTGCTTTACTATGTGGATTTAAATGTGAGATGAATGATCCTGCTTGGATTGCAGATATTTAGCAAAGGCTAAAAAAGATGACCTCAGCACTTTTCTTGATTGTTTACTTTTCCATATAAAGTTTGCTTCTAATATTTTGTTCCCATTACATTTTCTGTTTTAAAAATGAATGTTGCAGACAATGGATTCATGTATATTTAATCTATTTTTCTGGCTGTGCTGAAGTACTTTGCAAGCTATTTTCCATGAAGTAAAAAAGCTACTCTCTTCTGAATTCAGGCCTTGCTAGTTCTTCATCAGTTAGACAGCATTGACTTATGGAATCCAGATGCGCCAATAGAAACATTTTGGGAGATTAGGTAGGTAAATTAGCTTTCGTACATCAGATAAATAGCCCCATATGAGATGTCTTTTCTTTTGAAATAGCTGCGATTGAAGAAATGCTCTGAGGGGGAAAAGCTATATATTTATATAATCTCATATCTTGAAAATCACAATTGCTTAAAAGTACTCCATCTTACTCAGCTTTATAGCAAGTTGTCATTGCGCTGTACTGGTTAAATTGAGAGAGAGACCTTTCTGACTACTAAAGGGTATCTGAAGTCCACTATTTAGTTGTAACTGCAGCTATTAAACTAAACATGAAAAGATAGGTTTTATCTAGTTCAAATGTTTTTTTATTCACTTTTTTTTTTAAATTGCGTTTATGCATTTGAGGGAAAGGCAAGATAAGTCTAAGCAACTCCAAAGATGGGTTTGCGAGATTGAAACCAAGATCTGCCCCTTTGCTAGTTCCTTGCAGTCTAATCTTTGGGTCGACTGATTTGTCTTAAGGATTTTCATTTTAATAAAATATTTTTGTTTTTTTAAATAATATAATCTTTTCCAAGTCTGCTAATGCATCAATTTCAGCCAGACTATTAGGGTAAAAATTATAGTGGTGCTCAAGAGACTAAAAAGGGACATTGATGTTAAATGGGGATTAGCTTAATAGCTTAATATTTGTAAACTGAAAAGCTGTACAAGTTAGTTGTAATCTTTTATGATTAACTGAATCAGTGCAAATATAATTGTAGGATTAAGGTAGTCAATGCCTGTTCTAGAGAACACTTTTATCAGCATCAGAAAAGTAGCGTGTGTTTGCAATATATAGCTGAAAAGATTTGTAAATTTAAATTTTAAAATGTTGGTTTGTTTCTTGTTGAGTTGGGCAGTAATAGAAATACATGAATGCTACTTCATATGTCTCAAATGAGTTTGTGGTCTGTTTGGGCTGGGGTAAGAGCCATTCAATTTGACACTAATTTGGACCCTTTGACAGTTTTAACAGAGTGGGAGGACTCAATGGATATGAAGAAGGAACATCCCTAGATGTGTTCCTTCCAGAACAGAGTTGAGACACGTTGTCAGAGCAGTGTAGGTAAACTTGTACTGCCAGTCTGTGCTGAATCTGTTCTGTGGGTAAGCAGACAACTTCTGAATCAGCAACTGTCTTAGAACGAACTACTGGGTTCAGAAGATTCTCTGCGCTCACGGTTGTTTTCACTTTTGCAAAGCTTTATTTAAGGATACTCGCAGAGGCAGGTGATAGAACAGAGCAGAGAGGGCGGTCACTTCACATTGGCTTTAGGCGGCAGCTGCCACTTCGCATGGTTCCCCTGGCCCCGGAGTCTCTCGATCCCAGGGATGCGATAGCCTGTGCTGGGGCTCCGCGCAAGTCGGGGCTCTTGCCAGAGCGGAGGAACTCATCGTAACTTAAGAATGTACATCTTATATAGTCTGGAGTAAATAACGTTATCTCAAGCTAGGGATTTGGTTATCTCAAGCTAGGAATTTGGGGATGAGTCGTGATCTAACACACCTGGTATTTACCACGTTCTGCTGTATTACAACATTCTACTATTTAAGCTCATAGTTCAGTCATGCTCACAGAGCAAGAAGCTACGTGCCGTTTCACTAGCCTACTATAGAATCAGCATGCAGAACTCTTGCTATTAGCATTAGCAAAGCTCTTACTATTACAACAGCCCTGGTGACAGGACTTCTGACAAGTACCCAAATTGCTTAACTTCCTTTCAGAGAACAAAAAAGGCCAGTTGGGTGGAGGGGAAGGGGTTCTGTGATTTGAAATGCATCTCTCCACATAAATTAAAAATGGCATTGTTATGCCTGCACAGGATGTTCCTACTAATGATGTAAGGGTATATGGTTATATCTCTTTCTAGAGATGTTACTTTCTTTATTAGATGATAAAGCTAATACTGAATTTCATTTCACTGCAGTTCACAAATGCTTTTTTATATCTGCAAGAAACTAACTAATCATCAGATACTCAGCAATACAGAAATCCTCAAGTGGCTGCGAGAGATTCTGATCTGTAGGAATAAGTTTCTTCTAAAAAATAAAGTAAGTAAATGTTAACCATAATGTATTAAGAGTATTAAGCATTAGGTTTATATTCTTCCTTTTACTTACTCCCTCAGTATATCAGATTATTTCTTGGTGACTGAAAAAAATATTACTAGCTCCACTGGTAGTTAAATTTCTGCACTGTAAAGAAAGTGAAAATGCCCTGAATGATATACCCTGGTCTTGAGTGGTCTTAGTATGGTTAGGTTCTTTTCGCTAAAATGACATGTTTTGCCTTTTTTCTCTTTCCAGAGGAAATGTGTGGCCTTCAAAGGGTTTGAAGTAATGATTTTGCAGATCTAATAACTGTTGTTTCTTAGGAAGTTAGGGTTGGAAGGGACCTTAGGATGTCATCCAGTCCAACTACCTGCTCAAAGCAGGACCATCCCCAACTAAATCATGCCAGCCAAGGCTTTGTCTAGTGGTGTCTTAAAAACTGGATGGAGATTCCACCACCTTTCTGGCCAGCCTGTTCCAGTGCTTCACCGCCTTCCTCATGAGGGAGTTTTTCCTAATCTCTAACTGAAATATCCCTTGCTGCAACTTGAGACTGTTGCTCCTTGTTCTGTCATCTGCCACCACTGAGAACAGTCCAGCTCCATCCTCCTTCGAGCCTGCCTTCAGATAGCTGAAGGCTGCTAGTAAGTCCCCTCTCAGTCTTCTCTTCTGCAGACTAAATAAGCCCAGTTCCCTCAGCCTCTCCAGTCATAAGTCATGTCCCCCGGCCCACAGCCCATTTTTGTCACCCTCCACTGAACTATCCACATCCTTTCTGTATTGGGGGGCCCAAAACTGATCACACTACTCCAGATGTGGCCTCACCAGTGCTGAATGAACACTATCAGAAATACCCTCCATGCAAGAGAGAGCGAGGGATGATACCTCTTTCCTTTGTCAGAGTGGCAAGACATGCAGAAAATGTATTTTCTGTTTCTTCCTGATCATCTTATGTGAATATTGCAGAGTATGGGTCCAGACCGGACACTCACTGAAACAGTACGTCTAAAGAAGTCAGTTGGTAGATTGAAAACTAGACTTGCTAAATTACTCTTGGTATTTTAAAGGCATAAAGATAAAGGATTTGGTTCTCTGCCTTAAGTTCTACGTAATAGGTATGTTAAAGTGCTAAAACCGGAGAAAAGTTATGACTTCTTGCTGGAGGTCCTAAATCTACACAGAATGCTTAGAGAAGAGCTAATGTCCAGGTTGGAGTAGGAAAATGGCTCATTCCCCTCTTTAATCCCTACTGCTAGTTTTGGTACTACATGAGTTTTTTCTTTATTATACTTTATGTTGACTACTAGCTGGCCTGTTCTTTGGATATCTCTAATTTAATATTACACTTACTAAAATACAACAACTAAACTAGTTCACTTAATTCTTTCATGATTCCCTAAAGATTCATTATAATGCTTTCAACTTGCTTTGACATGTTTTGGATCTTATTTTTCTTAAGCTTATAGAAACCTCTTTGATGACTTAGGATGCCTTTGTAGTCTCCTGTAAGACTTCCCTCACAACTTCTGTTCTAACATAAATCTCTTTCCAGGGGTTTCGGAAGCAGAGCGCCTCAGGGCACATGTAGTATCTTTTGTAGTTGGGGTCCTCTCTTGTCTGAAATCGAGTCTCTTTACATTTCTGGAATTTTACCTTGTAATTATTCCTGGAGATGGTTCATCCATCTTGTCTTACGCATTAAAGAAACTCAGTTGACAGCTTCAGTTGTGCTTGTTGACGTTTATTGATGCTGATGATCGTAAATTGGTCCTGTCCAAATAGATGGGATTTTCTTCAATCATAACTTCTATGATTTTTATCTGGAGGCAGCATTTTTGGTTGCTTTCACCTTTCACACTCTTGACTTATCCACCATCTTCCATAAGAACAAGGTGCCATTTCATTCTTGCCTGAATTGTTTGATGAAAGATGTTTGGAGTTGTCTTTTTCCCTGCTTCCGTGACTTAGCCAGAGGTTCTCAATTCCATAGGCTGGATATGAAGACGGCTTCAGTTACTATCTAGATGGAACAAAATCTTTCTGCAAGACATGAAAAGAAGGTGTATTTTGAAATGTGTAAAGCTTATCCACTTTTTTTCTCTAGTAAATAATTCTGTTCAGTCGTGCTGTTCTTGGGTCCTTTTACCTTGATGCACATTTGATTGTGTTGAGAAGATGACATATAGTTCACATAGGCCGTGTCCATACGTGGTGTGGATGTTTGGTTCCCCGGGGACAAGTAGGAGCGTGCACCTTGTTTCATAGTTTCTAGGGTCGGAAGGGACCTGGGCAGATCATCTAGTCCGACCCCCTGCCATGGCAGGAAAGAGTACTGGGGGTCAAACGACCCCAGCAAGATGGTCATCTAACCTCCTCTTAAAACCCCCCAGGGTGGGAGCCTGCACCACCTCACTTGGAAGCTGGTTCCAGACCCTAGCCGCCCTGACCGTGAAGTAGCGCCTCCTGATGTCCAACTTAAACCTTCCCTCCGCCAGCTTGTGACCGTTATTCCTGGTAACTCCTGGGGGTGCCCGGGGGAACAGGGACTCCCCCAGTGCCTGTTGATCCCCCCTGACTAGTTTATAGCAGGCCACAAGATCCCCCCTCAGCCTTCTCTTCTGGAGGCTGAACAGGTTCAGGTCCCGTAACCTTTCCTCATAGGACCTTCCCTGCTGTCCCTTGATCATGCGAGTGGCCCTCCTCTGGACCCTCTCGATGCTGTCCACATCCCTCTTAAAGTGCGGCTCCCAGAACTGGACGCAGTACTCCAGCTGCGGCCTGACCAGTGCCGCATAGAGGGGGAGGATCACCCCTGAGCACTGGGCTGGCCCCAGCAGCTTGACCTGGGGGCCTCTTGAGGTTGCAGCAGTGGCGATTCTGCCGCGTGAAGCCTGGCTGGCAGCCAGCGTGGCTCTGGGTGACCCAGCTCCGCTTTTGAGCAGCATGCACTACCTATGTGTGTGTGCACTGCTCTGCTTTTTTTCTTCTTGGGTTTTTTTGACCCCTGGTTATCCAGGGGTCAAGAAAACCCCTCCGTGCTGCTCCATTGCAGCATGGAGAACAACTAAACATGCAGTATATGGAGCCCAGTTCTGAGAAATGGGCACTTGTAATAAAATTGTTTCATTTTTCTTCTATGCCCATTTAGACACCAATTGCAAAGCCAGAAAAAGGCCGTGATTGGTTTTTAGAGCAACGTTAGCTCTGCTCCATTTGTCATATAGTATTTTCTGTTTCTGATTTTCATGTGACGTATAAAACCTATAATAAATTATACAAATTTATGAAAAAACTAAGAAATACTCTGTGGTTGACTTTTATTAGAGCCTTCACTTTCTTTCCTTCCTAAGAGTTTGGAATATTCAACTTAAATGTAACTATTTTGGCATTAAATAAACTTATTTATTTAACAAATGTGGGCTGATGTTCTGTTTTTAGGACTGAGAGACAGTTCTGCCTCTTACATATAAAGAAATACTTCTATGTGCATAAAATATCAATTCCTCTGGAGGTTTTCATATCACTTGATCTCTAGTTTTAATAATTGAATGCTGATTTTTTTAAAGTTTACTTTAGGAAGTACTTCCAAAGAGCTTCAAGAGTCACGTTACGGAACAAACATGCCCCTTTCAGATGGCCCCAAACTATTCTTGTGCTCTTTTTGCTCTCTGCCAGCTTCCCGTTTTTGCCCTAATCTTTCTACAAAGGACAAGAGAATATCTCCTTTTCACTCCTTGGGCTTCTGTGAGGTCTTTCCTGTCCAAAGCATCAGCTTTTGAGCATAGGGATTGCTCTTCTAGGCCAAAGTAATTTGCTTTTATCATTCTTTACTAAATCTTCAAGTGTTCTAAGCCAGAAGGCATCTTCAAAATATGATGCGATAAAGAGAAAGAGTTAGCATCTTCCTTCACTGAGCTGGAGCAGCTGTCTGGATATCTTTCAAGATGCAACGTTTGATCTGAGCCAAAAGGCTGAGAAGCGATAGTTTTTCTTCCTTGCTTTACTAAACAATTTAATAAATAAACTCTCTGCCACCTTGATTAGACACACACACTTGGAAAAAATATGGGTATTAATTCAAGCCTTCAGGCCAGATTCCCATTAGATAGTCCCTGCATTTAACGTGGGTGTGGTATTGACTTCCTGTCCCAAACCGTTGAGTAGTATTGCTCTATGCATTTTGCCGTGAAAGTGGCTGCATATCAGCGATGAGTGCAGTAACTACCATGTACATGTATTTTTTTTTCCTCCCAAGCTCTTTGGGAGTTCTCACGATGGAAAGATACTATATACATGTTAAGAGGCCTTTTTTCCTTTCATGAGTATAGCTCCTGTAAACCATCCTTTTGCCCTTTTAAAAGTAGCGTGATTTATTATTTCTCTTCCCTCTCTTTATAGCAATCAGATAGGAGTTCCTGTCATTTTCTCTTCCTTTATGGGGTAGGATGCGATGTCTCTGGGGGTGGAGCTAGTCAAATTTCTCTTGACCATGAAGAGATGGTACGCTGTGCCCCAGGAGCTTCATTCAGGAAAGGGAAAGGGAACTCTTCTATGGTAAGTGCTGCACTGTGTATCATTCTTAAACCTCTTTGATATATTTAGGGGGTTGAACCTCAGTATGACTGTATAAATTGAATTAATATTTGAGGGTGGCATGAGTTACAGTTGAAATGTTTACCAGGGAAATAGTAGAAGAGATTTTAAGTTCATCTAGATGTTTGTTCAGGTTACAGATGTATCTGAAGCGCTGTGCAAGTTTGAGTAATGCAGTAAAGTTGTAACCATCTTGAAATTAAAATATTGGCCTACCTTAGCTCAGTTTAAACCATAACCGATTTCATGCCCACATTTATTAATTCTCAGACTCCATATTTCTAAACCTCAGGCCTGAAACAGAAACAAGCACAGCAGAAATCAGGGAACATTCACCCTTGTTTCTCACAGGCAGATTTTTGATTTTGGCTCTACAGCATGGAACAGCTGTGGACAACATCAGCAGGATGTTTTAATCAATGCGCTATGAGCCAAGATTTCTGATTTGTATTTTTTAAGTGACAGTTTTTTTGCTACTATTTAATGTGTAAGTATCATTACTATCTTCAGAGCACTTTACAAATGTAAATTCATCTTCATGCTTTGGAGAGAAGAAGTCATATTCCTATTTTGATTGAAACTAAAGCAGAAGGGCACATAGAATAATTGTTTAGAGACAGGTCTTGCTCCCAGTCGCGTGCTGACACCATCAGATGGAATCTCCCTAAAATCAAGTGAATGAGCACAACCTAGACTCTGTTCCCGCAATTGATGTGTGCAATCCTAATGAAATCCCGTTTCGGTCCTGACAAAATGTTGTGGATATTTAAAGCATTAACTTGGTACAAACTGGCCTAATGATACTGCTCAGTAGTGCATCACAGCACCAACCATGCTAATACACTACTGCACAGTATTGTTATAGTTGTATATAATTACTGCGCATTAATGAACGTGTAGATGTGCCTGCTGCAAGCTAATGGTGGAGAACCTTGCTATCAAAAATACAAGCGTAATACTTAATTTCTCCCACACTTAAACTGTCTTATAGATAGATTACATAGATTTCATAGATCCCTAAGGTCAGAAGGGACCTTGTAGATCATTGAGTCGAACCCCCTGCTCTAGGCAGGAAA